AAGCAATTCAAATTAATACCATATAAGATTCTTATAAAATATAAAAACATTAAAATTAAAAAGGAAAAAACTTACCATCTCAAATGCACTCCAGTTTCGCTCGCATCCAAATGAACTACAAGTCAAGCTTAGAATTGCAAATTTTTGTAGCTCTGGACATTCATCCCCGTAAGAATCTCACCATTTAGCTAGTCTTTTTATCCCTTGTTATCTTGGCAGCCTCAATACCGAACAACTCACTTGCATCCTTGAATGAATCAAGTTGCAAGTCAATTTTACACATTTCACTTGCATCGGGCACCATCCTTTCTAAGCATTGATATAATCTAATTTTAATATTAGCATTACTTTAAAATTAGAATTATAATGATAATGAGGATTCAAATAATAAGTTGCTGCATGTAAAGGTCTGTAAAGTTGAAGTTCCCATCTTGCATCAATGATATTCCATATAGGCATATAACTACAAAAAAAAAATTATCATCAATGTTACATGACCTAGCTAGTAAACATTATAATCAACTGATAGTAATAAATAAATAATTAGCAAGATATATAATCAATACTTTTTTTTCACATAACCAAAATTCATTTATATCTTCTCTTTTGCTTGATCCATTGCTTCATATATAAAACTCATAGTTAGTTTCTCATCTGAGTCAACTAATCAAAGAACTTTTATCAGGGGATATGCTCGCTTAATACATGTAGTAACATTATACCAAAACTTGTTATCCAAAACATAACTTTGAATTCGCTTTCCTTTTTCTGTTTTTGAAAACCTCTATGACCTCCATTGGATGGAAGTAAACATTGTCATCAACTGTATCTTACAATCCCCCAAACATCCAAGAGTTAAGTATGCAGTAGCAAATCTAGTGGCAGCAGGCCTAATCAAATCCTTTCCTTTTGTAAAGTGTCTGAGCATGGAAATGAGAATAGTTCTTGAATATATGTATAAAGTGATTCTTCTCCCATTAGCAATAGTTACTTGATGGATCTCTACTTTCTTCTCAAAATCTTCCAATATCAAGTATCTTCCAATGTACTTGATGACAATACATGGTGTCCAAAACAATCTTTTTCTTTTTCCCATCAACAATTGTCCTGCTACCTTATAATTTGCAGCATTGTCAGTGACTACTTTCACCACATTTTTCTCTCCAATCCTCTCCACAATAGCATTCAACATCTCAAATACTTTATCAGCAATCTTGGATATATTAGAGATATTTACGGATGATAAAAAAATTGTCCCTTTAAGACTATTAACCAAAAAGTTGCAAATAGAACGCCTTTTCTTATCAGTTCATCCATCAAACATTATTGAGCAACCTGTTTTTTTTTTTTCATTATAACTTGTACTCCTCAAGCAAGTTGATTGTGTGATTTAAATATGGAGGCTTAAAACCTCACTTATGCTTTGCAACCAATTCAAATGCCTTAACAAATTCAGGGTTTTTCACATAGTTAAATAAAATTGCACTTGTATAGAAAAATCTTGGAATTTGTCGACATGCTTCTTCTCTAAGATCCTTTTTTAGCAGCTAATTGATGGTGGTTTGTGTACTTCCACTCCCACTCATTACTCGTTTTCCTTTGTCTATTGAGGTAATTTCATTCCCTTCATCATTATCTTCATCTTTTCCAATATATTGGAGAGCCTTTCTTTCCTTCTCAGATGCTTCTTGATTTTTCA